GATTTATGGATGTCCAGATTGCTCAACTGTTCTCTAACCCATTCCTCATCGACTAGGGCAAACTGCTCCGTTGACCTGACTTCATCTGGGGTCTCAGGGGTACAGGGCTCTTCAGGACTGCCTGCAGCAGAGTAGACAGAGACAAAGAAGGCATTCAGTAACTCTGCCATCTCTGTATCTTCTGTCAGCAGGGCACCCATCCCATTCATCAGTGGGCCTACATTGCCTCTGGTGTTAGTTTTGTCTGCCATGTATTTGAAAAAGCTCTTTTTGCTGTCCTTGACCCTTCTCACCAGGTTTAATTCTAAGGATGCCTTAGTCCTCCTAGCTGTCTTCCTACATCCTCTAGCAGCAGCCTTATATTCCTCCCAAGTGGCCAGCCCCTCCTTCCATGACCTGTAAACTCTCCTCTTCCACTTGAGCATACCCAGCAATTCCCTATTTAGCCACGCAGGTCTCCTGGCCCTCTTCCTTGACTTCCTACGTGTCGGGATGCTCCGATCTTGAGCACGGAAAAAGCAATCCTTGAATGCCAACCAACTATCTTGGGCCCCTTTACCTTCAAGCAGCCTTGCCCATGGGATTTCCCCTAGCAATTGCTTGAAAAGGCCAAAGTTTGCCCTGCTAAAGTCCAGGGTTGCAATTCTACTTACTATTCTACTAGTCCTACCACACAAGATCCTGAACTCCACCATCTCGTGGTCGCTGCAACCAAGGCAGCCCTCAACCCTTACTGCTTCAACCAGACCCTCCTTGTTAGTGAGGATGAGATCCAGCAGCGCTCCTCTCCTGGTTGGCTCATCCACCATTTGCAGGAGGAAGTTATCATCCATACACTGGAGGAACCTCCTGGACTGTGGCTGGGTTGCTGAGTGGTCCTTCCAGCAAACATCAGGGAAGTTAAAATCCCCCACGACGACCACGGCCTGTGACTGTGAGGCCGCTCTCAGCTGCCTGTAGAAGGCCTCATCAACTTCCTCACCCTGATCCGGTGGTCTGTAACAGACACCTACAACAGTATCTCCCCTGCCAGCCTGCCCCTTAATTCTCACCCACAGACTCTCAACTCGCTTGTCATCTGTCCCCGGACAGAACTCGGTGCATTGTAGTTCCTCCCGCACATAAAGAGCAACCCCACCACCTTTCCTGGCTGGCCTGTCTTTTCTGAAAAGGACATAGCCCTCCATGACTATATTCCAGTCATGTGAGCTGTCCCACAGTAGTCGTACATGTCTGCTTGTGTAGACAGAGTACTAAATAAATATGCACTATGAAAAAAACAGACAACTCTTTCAAGAGTGAGAATAATGTAAATTCACTGTATCTACTTGCCTTATGTACTGGGAAATGGCTGTTAACTTCTCCATCTGCATTTTGATTGCAAGAGTACATTAACCAACACATTCTGAACAACTGAGGAATGGGGTACTAAACAGATGGAAATTCTGATATTCGGATGATTCATTTCAAAAAGGCAGTTGAACACCAACCTGTATCATTAATGCATAACATACAAAACTAGTAACTCTAAAATTTGTACAAGGTGATTTGATGTTTCAGACTCCCGTATTCTAACTATATGTTACTAACTATATAATTCAGAAAATTAGAATATAAAACGTGGAGTTGCACATAACAAGTAAGTTATAAACTAGCATAAATCATTACATTGGTATAAAATAAGCAAACCACAATAATTAGGAAAGGGAAATACAGTGAAGGTTTTTTAGCACTACTGAAAGAAGATGTGAGCTTTATCAAGGTGATGCGGTAGCTTCTAAAAAGATTTTTTATATTTTCCATCCCTTGCTATGGTCAGCAAGTAACAAGAGCCTGATACTCATTTATGACACAAAAAATTCAAAGCTCAGAAGTGAAATGTTGCTGCTCTCCGCAGCCACAACTGTCTTGGTCATTTGGATCTCTCAAATTTACAGAACAACATACTCTGTTGATTATTTTATGAACTCATTAAGAAAGAAAACAAATGCATGAAACGAGGCCTCAATCCCCTTCGTACAGACTGGTCTAACATGTGAATTCACTAATTCACCCCTTAATTCATAAGTCTTCTAGCTCACAAGTTGCCTAATTTATGATTCATAATTCATGGATCTAGAAGTGCTCATCTTTCCTCCGTCATGGTGCAGGCCTTCCCTGTATTACAGCAGGAAGCACGAAAGCCTCAACACTCTGGCTGCTATTGGATATGCTTCTGGGTATTTATGCTGATGTATAGGTAGAAGTTTGGTCTACACCACTTCCACAAGTTACTGGGTTCTGAAGGAGCTGCCAGACAATCAATGTGCAAGGTGTTATGGCTGCAGGAGATAGCAAGCTGCAAGTGATAACTGTGTAATGAACTTTGGCCCTTCCTGTGGGCTCCCTACATGTTGCTTTCACCTTAACTTGATGGCACTGCTCCCAGCACTCTTATCAGGCCTCTGAATGAGCTGTGTCGCAGCTAGAATCTGAGCAGTCGTATAAACGTACACAGGCAGAAAGAAAAACCTGAATGTGTTTTGTGAAACAGGAGATGTGATGAGGTTGTCAGTTTGGAGACTACCTTTGCAAAGCATGTACATTCTTTTTTGATGTTTTAAAGATACTGGTTAATACAAAAATTGCTAAATGTAAAGCTGTAAGAGTTCTATTGTAGAATATAGAATGTTGAATGTAGCATAGAAAAGCTTCTGTTACAGCATATGTATTTTGTCTGGAGGCAGGTCACAAACAAACAGATGATTCTTCACATGATGTCTAGTTAAGCTGCAGAAATGTGCAATTTTGTGAATATCAACAGTTTACAAGGTATTGTAAGGTAATGCACTATGCCCAAAGATCCCAATGGAAAAGTTGTGCAACCTCATAGAAGAAAAAACTGAAGGCAACTTAATATGTAGAAGTGAAATCTCTGGGGCTCTGAGCGGTCATTGTAGAAGATGAAGGACAATCTGAACAGCTTCTTAGATATGCTTGTCTTGGTCATATTCTGCTGCAACCATTGTTTTTTTAATGAATGAATGGAGAAGGATATTGACCCTTGGTCTGAAACAGGGTTCCAAAACGTATCCAACCAAACCATGGAGAATACATATTTACCCACTATATAGGAGAATTATTTCCTCCCAACTGTTTTTCTTCTATCCTCACCTCCAAAGCTGAAGAAAGTGAATGAAACAGAATAGAAAAAATACTGAAATAAATGAGTGGAAGTGACAAAGGAGAGAAAAAACCATGAGATTCTTTGGGAAAGAGATGAACAGCTAAACAACTTTCTGGAGAGCTTTGGCTTCACTTCTTGTTAGGAAAACACCAATGGTGGAAAAGGCAAGCTAGGTTTAAGACAGTGTCATGGATAACCAGCTGTGCCAGAAAGCAAGAATTTCTTTTCATTTTCTATATGCATTTTCAACTTTCTTAAGTTTCATATTTTCCATGCTTTATCTTTGTATTTAAAAAAAAAAACAACACATATTCTGCCAAGTCTGTCTCTTCATGAATCTGTTTGCCATCAATTATCACAGGTCTTCTGAAGAAAAACTGGGAAAAGGTGTACAAAATTTTTAGCACAGTTTATAGGAATTGGTCCTGGAGCCAGAAACTAGGGAATTAGATCCCTAGGGAAACTAGGGAATTAGATCCCTAGTTTCTGGAGAGGATGACAGCTAGAGCTCTGCAGCCTGAAAACTTGGCTAAGGACACAGAGAAGCAGTATCAGAACTCTTGCCAGACTCAAGATTTGAGACATTAAGAGAGCTAGTGGGTTGATCTTGCATCAATTTGATGAGTAATCAAGAGATGTTGCTTTGCCTGGTTTCTTCATGGCTCGGAATGCAGCAGGATGAAAACAGTCTCTATTATGGTAATAAAGTAACAAAATATGAGGAGAAAGGGTATTCACTAGGCAGGCAATAAAAGTAAGGCTTTGTTCATCATAAAACCACTGAATAATTCATGCAAAAAGGGCCCTTTGGAGGTCACTTGGTTGTTCCTCATCACTACCATCGAAGGAAGGCCAACTGAAATTCGATTCAACTACAGGGATAGATCATATTGCTCAGGGTCTTCTCCAGCCAAGGAGTGGACATCTACAAGGATAGGGATGCCACAGCCTTGCATTTCCCTTATTCCCTTCATGGTGTGGGGTTTTTTTCTTATATTGAACCAGAACTCCACACGTTCTCTGTGTGCTTTTCATCTTAGTGCATCTCTGAGAAGAGTTTGGCTTAATCTTTATGCTCTCCTATTACAGAGATGAGGATAGCAGTTTCCCATTTGTCTTTTTTCTCCAGCATAAACTAACCAATCTTTTTAGCCTCCCCTCATTTGCTCTCCTCCTCTTGAGCATCTTCATGGTGTTCCACTAGACTCACTCCAATTTGTCAATACTTCTCTTGTACAGGGAAGCCCAAAATGTGATGCTATGCTGCTAGAGAGGAATAAATACTAATGTACTGGCTGCATTCCTGCTTATACGGAACAGCATGTGGTTGGCCTTCCTCATCCAAAGAGCACATGGCAAATCTTGTTGTATTTATTGTCCAGCAAGACACTTAGAATTTTTTCCCTGAAAAAAAACTTTTCTATCCTATCATAGCCCAGTATGTTCTCCTGCATGGGGGCACCTCACCCCAAGTGCAGGACTCTGCCTTTATTGAATTTCATGAAGCCTTTGTTCACCCATTTTTTCAGATTGCCCAGATCCCTCTACCTGACAGTCCAGTTGACCACCACTCTCTACTCCAGTTTGATATATAAACAGCGATATAAATAAACAGTTATAGATGAGGGATTTTGCTGTATTCTGGGAGGTGTTTTTTGGTTTTATCTGTTTCATTTTTCTGTTGGAGATTTCCATCTGTTCTCTTTTCTAGACAGAGGTGCATGATAAGGGCAAAAGTTATTATGTCAGCTATTAGGTGTTTTTTGTTGTTTTTTTTTCCTGTTCTTTACAGATATGTAATCTCTTCCAATAGAATTTTTCTTCTGGACAAACATGAAAATGAAAATCAGTTTATTCCCCAACATGAATGCATTCTGGATGTCCCTGATGCCATGATTGTTGCAGCTTTTTAAGAGAAACAATCTCTTCCAGGGAAGGAGGCAACATTTTTCCTTCTTCATTAAAAGCATATTCTGGACAACGCATATTTGAACAACAGATTTATAATTTAAACAACATTTCACACACAGTTGGGAGGAGAGAGTGGGCAAAGACTGCAATGAGATTCCCAACACATCTTAAGAGTAAAAATTACTAGATTACTCAAGGCATGAGCTCACAGTAAGCAATAGTTTTAACAAGGTAAGAAATATGTGACAAGGACACTGAGCCCATAAACCAGGCTTTGCTACAGGCTTGTTCTGCATGATGAAGTGCTGTGCACTATGCCCAAGGACCCCAGGCCCCAGTTGCTGCTGGATCACAATGGGGATCCTCATCAGGGTAGAACACGGGCACTGAACGTTTATGATAATACTGAAGCCGTGAGAGCAATTTTTCTACTACATGAGGATGTTTTTCAGACAAATCATTTTTCTCTTCAGGATCATGAACAATATCAAATAACCAAAGTCTCTTTGTTGGTGGATCAGATGATTGAATCCTTGACTCATTGAACAAAGATGGTGGAGGGAACCAATGACTGCAGCCTGCAGAAAGAGGAACAGACCAGGGGTTAATTCTCAGATACAGTGCATCAGTATGGAGACATAAGAGTTATACTGCTATCAATGAATTCCCTAGGTCCTTTGACAAGCCACTGGACAGTGACTGTTGCTGCATTCTTTAACTCCATCACAGCACCAGAGTACCTCTAGTCCAGGGATACCTACACAGGAGTCCTCTTTATACAAAAAAGCTGCACCATTGGGATTCAAAATTCTATGTCACTTAATTTCATATTAATTAATTTAATGGACTTGCTTCTTGGATTCAATGACCCTCATGGGTCCCTTCCAACTTGACATAATGTGTCATTAGGATTTTAGAAGGGTCCCTTCTAGATTTTTGCATGTGATCAAAAACCTGAGAAATTAGCAGAATAGCTAAAAGAAATGAGCATACATTAAACAGAATTAAACTGTGTTTGGGGCAGGTGGGAGATGTGATATACTATACAAAAAGGAGTTACTTCATTACCTGGATATCCAGTTAGTAACTTCCATTTTCCATGTCGGATTGCTGCATGCATGGATATATTGAAATATGAGTCATTCCATGGAGAAGAATTACTCTGTGGTAAAGATGTCCTGTTGTCAATGCTAAGACCTTAATAAAACAGTAAACTAAGTTACATACATTACACATGCATGAAATAATTGTTAGAATTCTATTGGAAAACAAAGAAGTATCATCCATTTATTTTTATGTATTCAATGAACAATTTGTCACATATATGTGAAAACATCTGTGCTATGTTTCACTGGAGGCATTTAACTCGACTTGAACTGCACTGCAAAAAGTCATCAGTGGAAAATGTCACATCTTAGTCTGGATAACTGGACTCATTTCCTATACAGACATTGTATCTGTATCTCATATATCTGTATTAAGGATGTTCATGATTGGAATTGCTAAGTTTGCTCATAAAAGTGCCTGTATTTTTTGCCAGTCAGGAATATAGAACTGAAAGATCTCCTAAATCACTGCTACTACTGTTACGTTCGTAGATCACTCCAGGGACCAAGTCCCAGGTCCTGACATGACATGCAGCCTTCTCTTCTCCAGGCTGAACAGCCAAAACTTCCTCAGCCTGTCTGCATATGGGAGGTGCTCCGGTCCCCTGATCATCCTCGTGGCCCTCCTCTGGACTTGTTCCAACAGTTCCATGTCCTTTTTACGTTGAGGACACCAGAACTGCACACAATACTCCAGGTGAGGTCTCACAAGAGCAGAGTAGAGGGGCAAGATCACCTCCTTCGACCTGATTGCTGACAGGACTGACAGTTTCTTACATCATACAAGCACCAGATACAGAACTAATTTAAATAAAAATATTCCTTGATATGAATTCTCTTCTTCTCATCCTATGACTTCCACCTTAAGCTTGGATATTCCTCCCCCTGCATGCAACCCACTTTCTCCTCTTCAACCCAGCTGTTCAGTTTCTACCTTTGTCTTCATTCTTCAACTTCTGGTAGTGCAGGTGAAACACAAAATGAATGGGCATTGTATGGATTTTACAGGGATTCCTTTTCCAATCTGGCAGACTAAAGAGGTCACATTCTTTTTTTGTTTTGGTAAAAAAGAGAAAACTTTTATTCCCATAGCATTTAAGCAGTTTTTCTCTGCACCTGTTCTAGATTGCTGTTTTGGGGTAGGTTCATTTGTTGTTTTGTGTTTTTATGTTGTGTTTTTTTTTTTCCAGTATGAGTGTCCAGGCAGTAACAACAGCCCCATGGACTAATTCAGCAGATGCCTTTTATAGGTCTGTGTAATCAAGTCTGCTGTTAAATGCCAGCCTACCCTTCTTATACACTTGTATCTAAAAAATTTGATATTTTTGCTTGTGCAAAGAGGCTAGACATTTTATTTTTCTGCTGTTTGATCACCTGCATAGCAGCGGCTGCTGAAATACTAAAGCTTTGTTTTTCCCTTAAAAGAAAAATCCCACAGCCTTTGTAATGAATTTTCAAACTGAAGCCACTGTTTCCTGAAGCCCAACTTCAGAGCCTCACCAGCTGCTATATTTCTTTTTAATTAGTCTCTTGGGAAATGATACAACTTTAATAATATAAGAAAGCAGTGAAATTTCATGCAGATACTTGTTTTCAAGTATTTAATGCTACAATGAATTGATTTAAATATTTTAGAGTTTTGTTTGGAGTTGTAGGTCTCTGAAAAATATTCAAATAGCTTTTATACCTCTCTAGGAAAAAAAAAGTCCTTCAGAAATATTGCCCTTGGCAAGTGACTATAGAGTTTATATCATATATGAAGACCATTCTCAGTCTTGACAGCCTGAAAAATGGTTCCAGGAGTTACTGGAATCTGTTATCAGCGTCGTTCCCAGGCCGAAAGTCAAAAACACTGCACTGCACCAGCTACTAAGAAGGAGAAAAATGACTGCTACTGCTGAACCCAGGACACAGGGATAGCATAAAGAAATAAGAATATTAATTTGTATTAGCAGTGGCTTCCAGTGCACAGATCTGTCTGTATCAGCGTAGACAAGTCAGTCATTTGCTTAAGGCTTGTTTTGCACTTATACCAGAACATAAATCAAGGGTAATGTAATTGAAAGAATGGATTCACAGCGGATTTATTGTACTGTGATTGAAATAAGAATCTGATACCTACATTACTTCTGTCTTCAATCATACCATTTTAAATTTAAAAAAGCCCCTACAATTTACAGAAATGCTAAAGATAACAGGTTTTGCCACACTGAAGTAGTTATTTGGTAAATTCAACCCAGCAGTGTATCCTAAGAAGTAATTAACAACTGAGGAGTCAAAGCAAAACAGAAGAGATAAACCAAAACTGCTTACTTTGTCCAGCAGTCTGTTCTTTCACTTCACTTTCTAAGCATAAGGAAGGTCATAAAAAACGATGCAGTGTGCTTAGCCCCGTGTTTTAACTCTAGCCTTTTGAAAAAGCTTTTCTGACCTCATTCAGTATCCCATGTGTACCCCTGATTTAGGTTGGCTGGCTAGCTCTTCCAGAGTAAAAAACACTGTCTTCCTGTGTATTTTTGCATACACTTACAATAGGCTTCTGCTTAACTCATCAGTTCACCTATTCAACTGGCCAATGATTTTTGAGGGTGGAAAATAGGAAGAAACATTTCTTCACATTTCTTCCCTGGTGACCAATGTATGCTTGAGAATCGATCATTGACTCCTTGTCTTCTGCACAGTGACCTATCAGAAATTTATCTAAAATAAAAAAAAATACAAACCTATCTGATCACCTTGAAAAGACAAAAACATCTGAAAATCCACTTCTTTTCTGTGTAACTGAAAACCTTCTAAATTCTTCTGCAATTGATGTACCCCAAAATAACTTTATGACCCTCTGGTGCTGCATGAATAAAAAGAAGAAGGGTTGATCCAGTTTTATTACATTTTACAGCTTTAGATGTCTTATCAGAAGCTCTCTACTTCTCTTCCTTAATGAGGTCTATAAATCCAACTTGGGTTATTTTTCTAAGCTTACAATGCTCCCGATGGCTTTCACTGATATTTATTCTCTGAAATATTTAATATTCAATCATGTGCAAATACTAAAAAAAAAAAAAAAAAAAAAAAAAAAGTTTTCCTAGCAGAATTTAAAAAAAAATAGCAAAGACAACAGAAGGACACTGCAACACAGTACATGGTAGGTAGGCTGGAAAATTCAGATCTGCCAGCACCCCTCCGTAAGTATTTCCTATGATTTGTCTCAATCTTTTGCTTTCTGCTTTGCAAAGCAAACATGTAAAGTGCTGCATAGCTGTAATTTGTAAAAAAAGGTTATTTAAGGATAGTCTACACACATATGGTAAATCTCAGAGGTTAAAAAAAAAGGTACAATCTGAACTTGTACCTAAAGGCTCATTCTTTAGATCAGTTTGAAAAGTAAATTTGTGGAAACATTTTATTAAATGCAATCAATTTCTGAAGAGTATATTCATTTAACCACATCTAATTTTTAATAATAAGAAGGAAGAAGATAAACTACAGATTTTCAACTGAGATTTGAAAAAGAGAATATATGGGGAATACATATTCTGTATCTATATATACAGTGATATTTGCACAGATCTTGTCAGCATAGATCAATTGTTCTCATTCTTCTAGCTCTCCTTCGTTCTTTAAATGAGACCAACTCATGCAATTCATGGAAATGTAAAATGTGGAGATACAAATAGGCAGTACATCTAAAAATAAAATATTCTGCCTTCAGCCTATGATTAAGATGATGAAAATGATACATGCTGAGAAGAAGTTCTCTTGGTTGGTGAGAGATCAAAGAGTGTAAAGTTCTCTCTAACATGCCATTTAGTGAGGTCCCAACCACAAAATTTAAAGGGTCCAAAAGAATATTGCTTGAAGCATGCTATATTTCTGTACACTGTGGTCTACAATACTAGTGTGCAGTGTGGCAATGTTGGGTACTGGAGAGCAATTTTGGAGAAAGACAAAAGAACATCAATTTATTATTTATTTAGGAGACATAGCCCTGCCTAAAAAGTTAATCTAAACAGCCTGAGTGTCAGATTGACTATGCCTCTACAATTTACCAACTTCCCACACAGTAACAAAAAGATTCTTTTATAACCAGTTACGTATAATGAGTGCCCTTTACAAACAAAAGAAGCAAATGAAGCTTCTACCTTTGGTTCTTCATCTTAGAACTTATCCTCCATTTGCAGTGTATCTCCCAAATGAAAAAGTGAAAAACAGCAACATTCCTATAGTTTAACTTCTATTTATAATACCCTAATGTAGGCGCAGATTCAGCCATATGACAGGGACGATACAATCACATAAAGCTCCAAGCTTAATTGCAAACTGCTTAATGGAAAAAACTGAAAAGCATGCATTAAGAAAAGCCACAAAACACAGGGTGAAGTAAGATTTTAGATGGCTCACACTCTTTCCAGTGCAAATTAGACACACATCTGAAACAAATAATAAACAGGTGCTAGTGCTTTGCAGATGTAAAGTACATTGAAGATCCTTCGCCATAGCAGGAATATCACCACCATTTCCTGTAACAGAAGTGTGTGCGCATATTACACTACCTGGATGTACAAACAGTTTGATACCCTGTGGTTTGCACTGTATACCACACAAAAGGATTCCCTAGATATTCTCTTAGTAACTAGAATTAACTCTGTAGTTCTTTTTCATTATAAATTTTGTCTGGCTATGCAGTTACCCGGAAGGGCTAGATCACTGCTCGGGTTGGGCTGGGTATCGGTTGGTGGGTGGTAAGTAGTTGTATTCTCTTCCCTTGTTGTTTCCCTTATCATTATTATTATTGATGGCAGCAGCAGCAGTGGTTTGTGTTATACCTGAGTTACTGGACTGCTCTTATCTCAACCCGTGTGAGTTACATTCTTTGGATTCTCCTCCCCACCACACTGGGAGCTGGAGGAGGAAGGTGGGAGAGTGAGCGAGCAGCTGCGTGGTTTCTGGATTACAGCTGGGCTTAAACCACGACACCATCTTGTGTGATGTTTTAGTTGACAGGAGGCATACCAATGTAACACACCGGGCCAACAGTTTCAGTGCTTACTACTTGGACCTCATGAAACATCTTGAATGAAGGCACATCATCTT